AAGAAAAAGAAAAACACATCAACAGCTGACTGTGTTGATGGGTGCTGGACTCTGGTGATTGGCTGTCCATGTCAACGAGCCCCTCAAAAGCTAGGAGAAAAGAGGCTAGGAGAAAAAGAAGATTCTCCAGAAACAGTAAAGAAAAGTAAAAAAAGGTAAAAAAAAATCCAGAAAGAATCAATACATAGCTTCATTGTAAGGTGGTGGCCAGTCAGTCTTGGATCGATGAATAGAATTGATTATTCTATCCAACCCACATACACGGTTGCCACACAGAGGACCTGGCAGACCATACAGTGGGGCTTAGCCATAAGCTAAGGCAAAGCCATACTCTACTCCAGAGAAAGATGAGTGCAGACAAATGGGGGTCAAAAAGGTTGGGGAACAGCATATGCTGGGCAGGTGAAGAGGGCCAGCACAAAGATAAAGCACAGGATGGCCACTGATATCTGAGGTATTGTCCTAGGGACTCTGTATCACACACAGGAGCTAGTTGTGTTTTTTAACAAATGAGAAAATGGACACAGAGGTGACCTAGGACTCTGAACTTGGGAAATGCTGACAACTGCCTCTGGCTTCATATGCTTTCCTGAAGACTTGTCTTCCAGCAGAAAGCAGAGAACAAAGGGCTAGAGCTGTGGCTCTGTGGGAGAGGACTCATGGAGATGATGGAATGCTACTGAAATGCTAAATGTAGAACTGATGGTGCTGTGGGGAGGAAACACAGGTGATCTACATGGATGGCGGACCTCAGAAAGATCATTTCAAATGCATAAAGAGAAAAGAAAAATCAAACATAAAAATCAGTAAGCTCTAGGATAACAGATCCTAGGGAGAGTAAAAAAGAAAAAAAAACAAAAAGATAATGAATGATCCTTATGAAAGACAGAGCCATACCTCCATCTCACGTCTATTTATGAGTACATTCATGGTGGATGGGAGGGGTTACTGATTAAAGATCTGTCCTCAGTGTGTCCGCAATGTGTCCGGCATGGTCACAGAAAGCTGAACCCACCAAAATAAAGGAGCTAAAGGCAGCACAAAGGCTGTTCCCATTGCTCTCAAACAAGGAATCAGACCTACAACCTGGACTAGCTGATGGAGTGCTCATGGGCAGCAAGAAAACACTGGTTCTGTATTCCTGTGTGACTCCACTCTGTCCAGCAGGGAGAATGGTGAGCAAACCACGGCGGGTGGAAGGCGTGCAGGAGCGAGAGCCATGGCGCTCAGGACAGCTGGGAAGTAAGCAGATGCCTGCCTTTCTCAAGTGGGTTCAAGAGTCCAGGACCAGGTAATGCTCATGGCGCTAAATAAATTTAACTTTTTGAGAAGCATGGATGATAGCATAGACGCCACACTACAAGTGAAAGATACCAACAACTTTCAAACAGCGGACTCCATAAACCATGAACTAGAAAGCCACATGCTATATTCTTGCAGAGTGTTAAAAGTTCATTACATCATATATGGCCACATTTATACAAGTACGAAGTAAACTTTGGAGACAACATGACCTTACTAACAGCAACCTAAGCTTTCCTTTTCTAATAACTGTAAGCTGGAAACCAGGACAATGTGTAAACACAAAGGACTGTGACTTCATTTAAACACTTGATTCACTGACCGTTGATTTACTTCTTGCAGACAAAAGAACACATAAAAAAAGAAAAAGGAATCAGTGTGTTGAGATAAAAATTCTTGCCATTAAAATAATAATCAAAGAAGAGTGCAAGAAATTGTGGGGGGGGCAAGGGAGGAATTGGAGGGGGACTGAGCAGAATGGAAATAATGCAAATATACTTAGGAAATTCTCAAAAAAAATTTAAAAGGCTAAAGGAAAATTAAAAGTTTTTTCCTTTTTTCCTTTGCCATTGTTCAATACTTATCACATAAAATGTAAGACAATTAATTACACAGACTTAGATTATTAGACCTGAGTAAATATAGGCGTTCACAAGACTATAATTTCTATAGTCCAGGCAATCACCATGGTGTGGACTCAGCTTTGGGGGGAAGAGTAGGAAGCTTATTTTTGAAAAGAGAAATGGGGCCAATCCCAACTCTGTACTTGTGTTAACAATTAGATTCAATCGCCAAACTGCGTGAGAAGGACACTTGCCGACATGGGAGGTGACAGTGTGTCTGTGCCCTGTACTGGCTGACGTTTTCAATTTGGCTATTTTGTTTGGGAAGGATGCTGACCAAATTCAAAGCACAGCAACTGAAATGGTGAAAGGTCACAAAACCATGGAAAGAGCTGGCAGAGCTGGAGGCTTCTGAACAAAAAACTAGGAACCTAACATTCTTCTACTACATAGAAGAGAGACAAATGTTCAAGTGGTTGCCCAGAAGGGGGCTGACTATGCTTAATGAAGGAAACATACCCTCTACTCATGGAAATGGCAGAGCTGCCCATTGGCAGGTTTACAAGTAGATTTGGTATGAGCATCTGCCAGTATCAGAGAGAACCCTGATGAACTCTGAGATGTCCTTCAAAGACTCGAAGGAATCAAAATCCTTTGACTTTTAACTCCCTTGCTTCCTTTTTAAGGCTCTCAACAGGGCTAGAGAGATGGCTCAGAGGTTAAGAGTGCTTATTATTCTTGCAGAGGACCCAGGTTCAGTTCTCAGCATACACACACACACACACACACACACACACACACACACACACACACAGAGTGACTGTCTATAACTCCAGTTCTAGGGCATCAGACATTCTCTTCTGGCTTTCATGGTTACTGAATGCATGTAATACACATACTACAAATAAGAAGGCACACACATACATATAAAATAAAAACAAATAATGCTCAAAAAAAGCTGTCAATGAAAATGTAGACTAACACCTAGGAATGGCCTAGCTAGGTGTTCTTCAAACCAACCTATAGATTGTATGAGGTAGTGATAAGGTATACCTCATCGAAAAAGGGTCAAGAGCCAGTTGTGGTGGTGCACACCAGTAGAATATGCTGAAGAGGTAGAAGCAGGAGGATCATGTGTTCAAGGCCAGCTTGGGCTACACCTTCAGCTGGGCATGGTGGCACAGACCTTTAACAAAGTACTTCAGAAGCAGAGGCAAACAGATCTATGAGACTGAGGCCAGTCTGGTCTACATAGTGAGTTCTAGGCCAGTTGAGGCTACAGAGAGGCCTTTTCTCAAAAACTAACAACACAACAACAACAACAACAAAAGGGTTGAGAATCACTGTGCATGCATCCCACACACTGAGATTCAGTGCATACGTCTTTCAGTAGTTGTATGACTAAATCTACAATTACTCTGGTTTTGAGATGCTGCTATGCTATACTCACGCACTTAGTTGGTCTCACGGGAGCTTTAGTGTGATGTAAAAAAAGAAAAAGTTTTTGAGGAAAAACAACAAAAAAGTTGAGGTTTCTACTTTTGGGAATTTAGCAGCAAAGCAAACTTACTCAGAATGTAATTAACCATATATTGACTTAAAGGACCTCAGGGCTAGAGGAAAGCCAATACTTTGGTCCACTTTCATCCTGTACTGTCTTCACCACTAAAAGTCCCAAGGTCCCTAGAGAATAAGAGATCTAGCATGTCCCAGCACTTTTTGAGGCATGGGGTTTGTGTTCTCACTTGAATTGTGACAACCTACAAGGTTTTATCCCTGCTCCCCCTTTTTTAATAGATGAAAACAAGCCTAAGTAAAATAGTATTGAATAAACACCAAAACAGCTACTAGGCTCCTAAGGTCTCCAACACTGCTCCTTTTAAAGAGGAAAATCAGAAACGGAGCTGATGTAATGGTTAGCAGTGAAGACATTTTAGAAAGCCTAAAGGATTCTTCTTTAGGACCAGAATTCATAACAGCCCCTTTGTGTTATGAGTACAAGAAGGGTACCCTGTTTGTGGATCACTTTTTTAAAAAATTTACTTTATTCTTTTTATTTTATGTGTAGAAATATATTGCCTGCATGTATGTGAATGCACCAGTGTCATGCAATGCCGAGGAGGTCAGAAGAGGGCATCAGATTCCCCTGGAAATGGAGTTAAGAATGGTTCTTAGGTGCCATGTAGGCACTGGGAATTGAACCTGGGTCCTCTACAAGAGCAGTCAGTGTTCTTAACTGCTGAGCCATCTCTCCAGTCCCTCGGCTGATCATTTTTAGGAGGACGTTGGCTATTAGGCTGATATGATTATTTACCTGGGGTAAAAATGCTGAAACAGGTCTGTATGATAACATGTACAGTAGTTAAACTGCAAGTATATCCTCCCTGACTGGACCTTCCACTATATTTAACTTGCTGAGAAAGAATTAGGGAAAACATTTCATACACAATGCTTAGAAAAAAAATTCAGAAAAAAATTTAACCAAGGAAGTGAAAGACCTCTATAAGGAAAATTTTAAGATACTGAAAAAAGAAATTTAAGAGGACTCTATATGGTGGAAAGATCTTCCATGCTCTGGACGAAGAACAGCATTGTGAGTGGCTTCCAGCTAGGAACACTCTCTGGCCCCATGTGTGAGGAACCCCTCATGGGGGTCTGCTTTGTTCTGGAAAAATGGAACCTAAATAAATCTGAGGAACAAGGAGCAAGTGATCAACAGAGCCAAGAGCACAGCAATCTGGTAGAAGGGGGACAGGGGGAAGATGAAAGCCCGCACAGTGGAGATGAAACCCAGGAGCAAGAGGGTGGCTGCCTCTGAATATTGTGAAGATCGCTATTCCACCAATAGTAACCTAATGCCCACCAATACCCCAATGACATTCTTTACAGAACCAGATAAAACCTGAAATTCCTATGGAAACACAAAAGACCACAGATAGCAAAAATAGTCCTATGCAGAAAAACAGACACACAAACCAATGTAACACAAGAGAAGTCTCAGAATGAACAGAGTTGGAGGCGTCATATTACACAACCTTAACCAGAGTTTCAACAAAATATTAAGTAGGTTTAAGATCTAGGATATGCTGCTATTACTCAGAGCATTTCTCCCTCTCTTCATCCTTCCCTCCTTACCGAGGACATCACTGGTGGCCATGATGTCGCACGTGTACATAGCTGCCATCAGGCGCTGAGGTTTCACCTGCAGTGCATAGCGACATGCTTCTTTCATGGTGGCAATTAGCTGCCCCGAGAAGGGTCCATAACAGTCGGTGACCAGAGATTCTCCTTTCTGTGAAGGTTTCTCCAAGGGCTCCGGGCAGCCACCCTCTTGCTCCTGGGTTTCATCTCCACTGTGTGGGCTTTCATCTTCCCCCTGTCCCCCTTCTACCAGATTGCTGTGCTCTTGGCTCTGTTGATCACTTGCTCCTTGTTCCTCAGATTTATTTAGGTCCCATTTTTCCAGAACAAAGCAGACACCCATGAGGGGTTCCTCACACATGGGGCCAGAGAGTGTTGCTAGCTGGAAGCCACTCACAATGCTGTTGCCAAAATCTCGGAAACGACTGGCTTCTTTGGATTCTCTGCCAGCTGGGCCTGTCCACACTGAGTTCTGAAAATCTTCACTTCTACTAACTAATATGTTGGGCCCACATTTCCTTGGACCAAAGGACCAGATGTGGTCAACAGTGTTCCTCCATTTTCTCCCTGTCAGGTGTAGCTCTAGTTTTCTTTTGAATTCCCAAATTTTCTCTTGGGTCTTCTGATGAATCATCTGAGTATTTCTGCCCTCATTCAAAGAGGATGTCAGAAGCTCCATGGAACGAATCAAATCGCTGTTTTCTTCCAAAATCTGAGTGATTTCTTCTGGAAGGGGTATGGCTCGAACACTAAGTGTGGCAAGTTTATTGGGGGTTGTGATGGTGATCAGCCCATCAGAATCAACTTGGATTCCTTCTGGGATTTTGCTTTGCTCTTCTTTCGTTTGGTGAATGACAGCAACTTTTTGTTGTCTGCCTATTTCTTCATTGACCATGTCAACTTTTGGAGGCTTTGTGATTGTTTCTCTGAATGGAATAATGGGTTCAGATACACTAATGTGGATCTTTGCAAACCTATAAATCCAAGAAAAATGACAGGTTCATAATCAAAGCTTTGTATTAACAGTGGAGAAAGTACAAAACACAGGAACATAGAAATCATTTTCTATGGACAGTCTGTAATTTACATTACATCTCAATTCACAGGGTGCTTTCATTTCCGCCTGAAAAGACGACCTCGATGGGAACATCCCTTCAGGGAGCTCTCTCTGCTCATACTGGAATTTCACTGCCTTGTTCATTCTCAAGATACATAAGCCATCTATTTAGGTAAGAACATTTTGAGTGGAAAATAGTGTAATAAGATTTGACATATGAATTCTTTAAAATAAAATCTGCCAACCAAAGAGTCTGGAGAAGAAAAGTCCAGTGATTACAGCTCTAAAGAGACAGACTCATCGACTTTCAAAAGCGCCTCAGATCCAAACACTACATTTGCTTTGCTAATAAGTCTCACAGTGGAGCAGCATGATCCAGGAGCTTGTCCAGACCAGCACTTCACCATGAACTCTGCAGGGACAGGGAGTTCTGTATCCTCTCTGTGTCGAATGTACACTGGAAATGTGGTTAGCATAACTGAAGAACGGGATTTTAAATTTAATTTATATTTAAGTAGCTATATCATGGCTGAGCATTTGAATGTGACTAGTATGACTGGGGAACTGAATTTTAACTTCATTTGATTTCAACTAATACGATTTTTAAGAACCCTCATTTGGGTCCCATAATTTCCCATCGGCAGTGGCTGTGGTATTAGATAATACAGGGCTTGAGCCTCCCCTGCCCCCCGGCACCAACACCAGAAAGCCCCCCTTTTTACACAGTATCAAACTTAGTTTCTTCCCAATCAGTTAAAGGCTCATGCCGGGCAAAGGACTAGAAAACGGCATGGACTGACACTGAGGCAATTGCGAAACAGGGCAACCTTTCTTCTTTTCTGTCTAAGCCATTGTCAGTTCACACTAAAGCTTCTCTCTCTCTCTCTCTCTCTCTCTCTCTCTCTCTCTCTCTCTCTCCCTTTCTCCCTCCCCCCCCTCTCTATGTATATACAAATATATTACATGGACTTTAGGGATCTTAGAATGATGGCTTTCCTGGGAAATTTATTCTACAAGGAAACTAAACACTGAAATGCTGACAGCTCATTCTAGGATTCTTTGTTTTCTATATGGCTCACAAGTATTTTATGTTATGCCCTTTGCTAAATCTGGAAACAATAAATGATTTCTTCTAAAATGATACCCCAACTGATTTTAGCATACAGAACCTGAAACTGATTATAATGTGAAGAAGAAAATTAACAACAACAACAACATAGCAAAAGGTTACTTCTAAGAGCTATGGCTGCCAGTGTTTTCACTTTGAAGGATTAGTCAATTTCAATTCTACACATCCTGTCCCAGGATGCAGAAGGTGGATGTCTGCCTGACACTGTGCCAAGTTAAAGTCCTTTGATACTTAAATAAGACAGCACAGATAGACAGAACTAAAGAATTACCAAAGAATGCAGATAGCAAAGCAAGATAAAATAACATGAAAAGTAACAGAGTATATTTGTGCGCATGTGTTTTGTTTTTTGATTATCACATACTACAATGAGCTACCATGCCAGGTGCTTTACATGTGTAATGTCTTTACTAGGTCCTAATATTCTCATTTTGTAAAGAGAACCAGGTATGATAACTGAATACATTTTCCAAATGGCTAGAGAGTAGAGGCCCTGGATCCCCATGTAAGTCTGACCTCAGAATTCACTCTCAGCCACTGTGCTGCAGTGAAAGCTTGTACTCAACATGTTAAATGAAAAATTCACAATGCTAAATAGCTTCTATCATAGGTCATAATTTATATTAGACCTGTTAATACAATTAAAATTATAACACAAAACAATGTATACTCAAAATGTCAAATAAAGTAACCTATACAATCATCATTTAAAATGCCAAACTGCCATTCAATAAAATTCAATATTCATTCTTGATTTAAAAAAAAAATGCACTTAGGAATCTTAACATAAATGGCCATTTCAGCCTTGACTGGGCCCAAATAATCAATATAGTTTTTTTCTTAGGCACATAATTTTTCACATTTCACAGATGGAGAATCTAATTGTTAACACATCATTTTTAGTGAGAAATTCTTGCTGTGAGAAGCTTGGGGGTGAAACTGCAGTGTGGGTGCTGAGTTCTGCATTACCTCAGGCCCTTGAACGGGCACAAGCTTGCTCTCTTCTTATGCCCACTTGGGAGCTGCTGAAATAGTGCTGTTAAAAATCCAAATCATTCTTTGTTCATATGACTAGAAAAGAGCCAAATTCACATTAGAGCTCCTCCATTATTATGCATAAAAAGCATGTACTGAAACTCACAATTTGATGTGGTTAGATACCACTTAGTCTTTATTTTGAACAACAACAAAAAGTATCATGATAAAATTCTGTTTTGAGAATTCTTGTAGGCTTTTAAAAATGACTTTGACTTAGGTATAATAAACATATTATACAGGGAGGCAGCAGATGAATGTCTTTAGATGGTATAAGACTTGAATCTATCGATTTATTGAGGGTGGGTAGAAAGAAAATAAAATTACTGTTAGTGTTTCTTTTCTTAAAGAAAAAAAAATGTGAATCGCAATCTTATTTCTATGTGTCTGAAGCTGCGATGGCCAGAAATCTAAATGCCGTGCATATTTCATATATTGCTTTTAACTCTACCAAGGTGGCAGTCTAATTCTTATAAGCGGGCCTGGGGAGATGGCTCAGTTGGTAAAATGCTTGCTGTATAAGCACGAGGACCTGATTTTGGTTCCTAGAACTCATGTTAAAAAAAAGCCAATATGGTGGTTTGGGCTTGTAATCCCAGCTTTGCAGAGAAGAGTGAATTCCTGAGGCCTTCTGGCCTGCCAGCCGTGCCTCCTTGGCAAGCTCCAGGCCAAGTGAAAGTCCTTGTCTCATGCCCGCCGCCAACCCCAAGGTAGACAGCATCTGAAGAACGATACCCAAGGCCTCATATACACCCACACCCACAGCCATATACACACAAAATAAAATGGAAGCATGAATTCTAAGAATAAAAATCAGAAATAAACAAGTTTTAAAATTATTACTCAGAATATATGCTTTTATACTAAGAACATTCAAGAGAATCAGCTGGAAAGCTACTGAACTGAGAAAATACATCTTTACCAATACTCTTATCTTTGTATTAAAAGTAAAGTGAAAAACAAAAACAAAACAAACCCAATGAACTACTTTGGTCTTTCAAATTTCTGAGGTTCCAAGAAGTCTCCGATAGGAGCTGCTTACATGATTAAAACTGTTCCCTGCTGTGGAAGGAAGTATATGGCTGACTAACCTACAAAGCATCCCAGGAGCAAAGGTTCTTTAAATCTTGGTAATGTAGCTGTAACTTTGTTTAGTGAAGTTATTCTATAAATTTCCATTGTAAACAATATCACAATGCTTCCATTTAAAAGCTAGGGTTGTTTTCAGTTTTTGGTTGTTAATTCTCTTGCTAGGGCTGGGCGTGTAGCTCAAGGGTAGAATGCTTGCCTTAGTATTGGCACAGCCCTGCACTGCATCCCTAGTACCAAACAAAGCAAAAACCAAGTAGTTACTACCTAGGCATGGTGCCGTGTGCTTTAGTACCAGCTACTTATGAGGCTGAGGCAGGAGGATTGCTGGGCAATATAGTGAGACCCCCATCCTAAAACAAAAATGTTGCCAAGAACATTCATCTTGACACACACTTGCCCAGCTGTGTTGTGCATACCCAGAGAAATGGGAGATTTGCCAAAACATGGGAAGTGCCTATTTTCCTAGAAGACAACACAAACCCAGATTCCAAAGCCATGTACCAATCCATCCTCCTACCAGCTGTGTGGCAAAGTTATTGCTTTTCACCTCTTCTGTCACTTGACAATGTAACTTTAAAAACTTAACACTAGTAGGTATATACAGGCATCTCACTTCATGTGTGTATGTTCCTATGTGTATGCAGGTGCATGTGAACATGTCTGCACATGTGTATGAAGGCCATTGTTGTGCCTTAGGTGCCAGCTTCCTTGTTTTGGGGATCAGAGCTCTCGCCTGGCCTGGTAATCAACAGACAGGTGAGGTTGGCTGGCCAGCAAGCCTCAGGGACCCACCTGTTTCTACCCCAGCAGTGGGATTACAAGTGTATGCCACCACTCCTGGCTTTTTGATGTGCGTTTTAGGGGTCAAACTCAAGTCCTCAAGCTTGCAAAGTCCTTGTGCTGGACAGCTTGACACACCTGGGTAGAGGGGGCCTCAATTGTAGAACTGTCTCCACTGACTGGCCTGTAGCCATGTATATGGGGTATTTTCTTGATTGTTGAGTGATGTGGGAGGTCCTAGGCCAGGGGTGGGTGGTGCCACCCCTGGGCAGGTGGTTCTGTATTGTATAAGAAAGCAGGTTGAGCATAGGCCAGAGAGCAAACCAGTAGGCAGCATTCCTCCATGGCCTGTGCTCTAGCTCCTAGTTCCAGGTTTCTGCCCTGCATGCCTAACTTGGGCTCCCTGATGAACTGTGACCCAGGAAATGTAAGCCAAATAAACGCTTTCCTCCCCAAGATGGTATTGTTCAGAATGTTTTATCACAGCAAAGACAAACTAGAACAGTCCTTTACCAACTATCAACCCAACCCCTTACTTCGGCTGTAATTTGTATTAAATCAAGTACAAACAAACTGATTACATTTTCAAGTGTCTTTTTTGCCTTTAGGATCCTTTTGTGAAGTACCTATTCAAGTATTTTTAACATTTTCTTTTGGGCTGCAGTAATTGTAGGAGTTCTTTATATGTGAGGACATATGTTTGTAGGTTTACAAAAATTAAGAACTCTTGTGCTTGTTTTTTCACTCTCAAAAGTCTTTGTTGAATACTAACTAAATCTTCCTTGTAATTTATGCCTTTAATACCTAATTTTAGAAGCACTTCCTTACTGAGGTCACATAGGAATTTTTATAGTATCTTCTAAACAGTACAGTGTTTTTAC